AATTATTTTTTTTTTTTTTTTTTTTTTTTGAAGTGGCACAGATGAGGAAGTAACACGAACACCTAGTTTTCAAAAGGTTCCCAGGCAGCCTATTTCCATTAGATTCCCCATACAGCTGACATTTGCTCTCTGGCCTATATCTCTGCATTCAGAAAGCGCAAGACAAAGCTCAAGCCCAAGATCTGAAAGAGAAAGGAGGAGATTATTTAAAGCCAACTTTCTAGAAACCCAGCCATGTTTCACAACACCATTAAGATAGCATTAGTACTGAGCAAAGCACTTCAGAAAACATTTGAGAAGACACAGACTTTACCCTAATGGGATTTAGATGCAATTGGTGTAAGCCATTACCTCCATAAATAGAAAAAGCCTGATCATAGAAAAATCTCCGTTTCAAGGTATCTTCCATCTTAGATCTGTCCACAATATCATCTTTGGGTTGCAAAGCCAGTTCCTGTAACACAAGCAGAGAGAAAATACATAATGGATCCAGGCATTAACAGTAAAATGAATCCTTGCTTCTGGTCAAAGTGATCTGCAAAAGGCATTTTCAAAACCAGGCACTCAGCTAGGCTGCTCACCTCCCAGGCTGAAGGGTATGAATTGGGACTGACATGCCTTACTGCTGTAATGACTGGTCAAATGCTAGATTCTGGCATCGCGTGTGAGAACACCGAGTATGCCAAGTTCTGAAAAGCAGAAACTTACTGGAAGCTTTCTGATGATAAAGCAACCTTGCTGTGACCCATCAAGGAAACCTGCTTAGCCACATGTACAAAAATAACTATTTCTAAAGCACTCTCCCTCTGAGACCTGTGGGATGCTGTAAAACACAATAAAGGCTAAAGGTACTAAAAAAAAAAAAATCTAATCATAGCACTGACTGAAATCTAGGAAAGTGTTCCACATGGTGTCCATTGCCGCATTCCTTGAAGTCAAACAGAGAGAGCAAATACAGTTGCAAGTATTTTATCCAAGTACTGTAGTGTGACATTAGTAATAAAAATCAACAGCTGACTTTAGGACACACACATTAGATGTTATTTCACCCATTCCCCTTGTAGGTAATTATTGTCAACACACTTTCTGAACAAGCTGCACCCAACAAATACCTACATTTGTTGAACACAACTGCATGGGCACTTCAGGCTCACGACCTATAAATGAATTCCTATCCCAAGTCCCACCTGCTGTGTCTCCATTGATTGTGTGACCACCTTTCAGCTATAAAAGCAGCCTGATTTCCAGAGATACTGAGCATCTGCAGCTCCCATTGGCATGAGTGAATTTGCATAAGATACAAGGCCACTGCTCTGAATAATAATAATAAAAAAAAAAGAGGCAGCACCAGAACAAAAGCTTTTACATGTAAATTAAGAAAGTCACTCTTTAAGAGTGTCAATCAATCAATTCTGAAACCTGCCAGGATTTTTCAGGGAGAGAAGGGCAAGAAGGAAATGACAGTGGGACGGTCTGATGGAAACTGGTTATGATAAAGAGGGACACAGACTGTCTCCTCAGGAACCCATGTGCGGTCACAGTCAGAGGACTGCCGAGCTGGCTGCGTTACAGGGATTACACTGAAGAAATGGAGCCTCTCCTAACCACCGGGTTTCAGAAAGTGCTTTTACAACTTAGGGCGGGAAGCTCTACACACTGGAGCTGGTGGCTTGTTCACCTACTGATCACTTAAGCTCATCCACTGATCAAAGGAAAATCTGAAACACAGACATGTCCTGAACATTAATAGCTTAGAAAAGGGGTTGGCAACATACGGCCCGTAGATGGCCTTCTGGCTGTGGCAGTTTTTTCCTGTGTCCGCACCTGCACTGGCACCATGCAGCAGGGAAGCTGCACTGGATACAGCTGGGGGTGCTGCGGGAGGGAAGCCGTGGTGGCACGGGTGCAGCTTCGCACTGCCTGGCCCCAGTACAGCGGGGAGGGCAAGGCCCACGACCACTGACATGCGGTCAAAGTCTCTCCCTGCACTCCCTGACCCATCCGTGTCAGACTGGGGCTGGGTTGTCCCAGCATATGGCTTGGAAAGGGTGCCGGCTATTGGCTAAGAAGATAGCAGTGCTCACTTAGCACCACACTTCCCTTTATAAGTAACCAACACAGATGTGAAAGGACCAATGTCGTATGATCACAGAGGCTCATGGCAGCCAGCATGCAGCCTGCTGCAATTTGCACGAGTTGCAAGAGATGACAATGCACTGCAGGAAGCTTTGCCAGAAGGGAATTACAATAGTGGAGACTGGTGCTCATGAGAACACAGGCTGCTGTTGCAAGGTTATCCCAAAATAAGATAGATGCAACCCACATAAATTGTGAAACTGCCACCTAGCCTCTGCCCTGCCTTCTTCCCATGAATAAGGTGTGGTTGAAGGGGATGCTAAGACTCTAACCTGACTCACTGCTTCTCTGCATGAAGTCTGCAAGAACTGTGAGACATCACCAGCAAACAGATTTCACGAGTCAGTCACTGCAGATGAGACTCGTCATAACCAAATCCCGGGTTATAATACATGGATCTACACTGAACAGTGACTAAGTAAAAATGGCATCTTCTTACTTCGTCAAGAGCCACGGACATGAGAAACACCCCGGCTGACTTTGCAGCTCTAGCAGAAGGAGTTGGATTTGATTCAGGTGCTCCAATGGATAATCAGGTTCCAAACATGAGGGTGAGTTTTGCCTTTGTTTTATAAACAATATAGATTCATAGATTCATAGATTAAGGGTCGGAAG